GAGATTCTGCTGAGAGATCTGCTGTAAGTCTGGTAGGCTTGCCTTTGTGGGTAACCTGACCTTTCTCTCTGGCTACCCTTAGAATTTTCTCCTTCATTTCAACCCTGGTGAATCTAACTATTATGTGCCTTGGGGTTGCTCTTCTTGAGGAACATCTTTGTGGTGTTCTCTGTATTACCTGGGGTTGAATATTGACCTGCTTTGCTAGTTTAGGAAAGTTTTCCTGAATAATATCCTGAAGGGTATTTTCCAGCTTGGATTCATTCTCTCCATCGCATTCAGGTACACCTATCAAACGTAAATTTGGTCTTTTCACATAATCCCACATTTCTTGTAGACTTTGCTCATTCCTTTTTATCCTTTGTTCTCTAATTTTGTCTTCTTGTTTTATTTCATTAAGTTGGACTTTGACCTCTGATATCCTTTCTTCTGCTTGAACAATTCGAGTGTTTAAACCTGTGCATACTTCTCGGAGTTCCTGTATTGTATTCTTCAGTTCCATTAATTCACTTATATTCCTCTCTAAGTTGTCTATTCTCAATAGGATTTCATCAAACCCTTTTTCAAAGTTCTTAGTTTCTTTACATTGGGCTACAACATGCTCTTTTAACTCACAGAAGTTTCTTATTATCCATTCCTTGAAGCAGATTCTGTTATTGGGATGCGCTCGTTCTCCATCAAGCCTTGTTCCATTGTTGATGTGGAACTGTGATCATCTTTAGAGGGAGAGGTGTTCTGATTTTGAGTATTCTCAGCCTTTTTATGCTGGTTTCTTCCCATCATTGTAAATTTATCTTTCTGTCATCTTTGAAATTACCAACTTTCAGATTAGGTATCTTGAGTGGACGTCCAAGTTGTTAGTACCCAGGGCCAGAACAGTGGCGTTAAAACTGATGGTGCTTTTCTGCCCAGGATTCTCCTGTCTGGCTTCCTTCTTGTGTCCGAAATAGGCAACTCTCCCTTCCCGGGGCTCCAAACCTTGATCAGAAGGGGAACCAGTCTCGTTTACTCTGCGCCGAGAGCTGCCACGCCGAGGTGCCGTCACAGCCGCTGTGCCGGCCTCAGGAGTTGTGCTGGGGGCCCGTGTGGGTCCTCCAAACCTTGGTCTGAAGGGAAGCCAGCCCTGTTTGCTCTGCTCCGAGAGCTGCTGCACTGAGGTGCCGGCAAAACCGCTGCGCCGGCCACAAGAGTCGTGCTGGCGACCCATGTGACTCCTCCACTAGGGATCTTCTGCTCCGTGAGCGACCTGAATTTGTCTGAAAGTGTGGCGTCCTCTAGTTCTCTGCACTTTAACTGAGAGCTGCAATCCTGAGATGTTAGCGATCGCCATCTTGGATCCTCCCTCTCGCCCTTGCTATTTTCTCTTTGCCATCCCTTTGTCCTGTTTGTCACTTCATTTGCTCTTAAATAAATAAATTACTGATGAACAAATATATCCATGTGGTCTTCACTGAGGACTACTGTACTAGTTTTTACACATTCTGTAGTATATTTTTTACTAAATGAAAGTAGAAGCTAAAATGTATTGGATATTCTCACAGCAAAAAAAGAAATGCACTGTGCAATGTTAAACAGGCTAAAAAGCTTTTATTCACAGCAGTAGGGGAGAGGAGCCCAGAAAGTAGACTGAGTTCAACCTTACTAAAGCAAAAGACTGATGAGTCTTTAATACCTGGGGTGGGAGTAGGGTTAATTGTAGACTTTTTGGGTTTGCCAACTGGCCTTACCTAAAGAAAAAATAAACTTTTTCACATCTTCAGGAAAGGAGATAGCCACAGAAGTTAGGCTCCTACCCTACCAGAGAGACTCAGACACAGAGGCCCTATCTTTTTTGATGATAACATTTCAAAAGGATGATTGGATTACAAAAGAGGCAAGACACTTTCACAAAGATTTACATCTCAAAGGGGCATAGAATAATTTCCTAATTTTAATATTTTTAAAGAAAATGCTGCAAGTAAAGAAAGGGAAGGGATCTCTGTGACTAGCCCATCTAGATTCTGTAATGGCCAGGGAGAGAGGGTAGTCAAGGTCTTAGAGGTAAAAATGAGCCTAACATTTAGACAAACTGAGGAAAATACTGAGGTAGCCTTGTTCAATATCAATTGTTTAAACAATTTCAAATTCAATTATGAATGATTGTAGCACTTCAGGACTGTTGGAGTTTAGATTTGATAACTGCTCTGGGTTAAACTGGAGAGAAATGAGTGGGATTTTCACTGATTTGCAGCACTCAGCTGATGTACATTATCTTTATGAACTTTTGGGTGAAATTTTTAAATTAATGTAATTAATGATTTTTATATATAAAATTCAGAGAAGATGTCGTCAGCACACACAGTTTACAAATAAGAATGCCAACTGAAGTAACTAAGGTAATGCAGGGGTTAAAAATTTTCTTATGGTATTTGCACTCTGAAAGAATTTGATCTAATTTGGTTAGCTATTTGAAAATATAAAAATCAAACAGTAGGTAATATTGCTGCAATATTTCTCTCCAACATTTTAACACTTTTATTCCTAAAAGGATGTTAATATTTTGAGAATACTTTCCCAATGTTTTCCCAGTAGGGTTATATCAACACATGACATGTGTAGAGGTTATTGAGTCTTGTACCATCAAGTGCAAATGTTAAAACAGGCAAAGTGTTTGCAGATAGAAATTCAAAATAATAGCTTTCATTTACCTAATATGTTCAAAATACTCTTCTTTAAGAATTAATATGATCTCATTATGTGAATTTTTTAGATGAAAAACCTGAGGACTGTGGAATTAAATAATTTACCCAAAGCTATGCAACTAATGTTTGAAGAAACATAGATTTAACCCACATCTGGCTCACTCCAAATATTCACCTCTTTTCCTTACACTATACCCACCATGTACCACAGACTGCTGCAGTGAATATATTTTTATTTGTTTCTACTCTATACAAAGTGATTATTTTACTTTATAAGAACAAACCTAATAAATTATTGACCAGTTTGGTATTTTAGGTAGTAGGAATGTCAACAAGGCTAACATAACTCTCAACATTAAAATATTATCAATTGCTCTTCAAAAGTGATTTTTAATAGCTTTTCAAAGCTAAAATGAAACATTGTATTATAGTTTCAGAAAGGCATGTGAAAAATGCCTTTAGTACACACAAGAAAGAAACTAAAATAAAGGAATAAATGGTTTACAGTCTGCTCACTGACCCCCTACTCAAGCTCCCATCAAGGAGAAATAAGCTGCAATTATACATACATCTCCCCTCAAAGCACGCTCACATGCACATGCATTCTCATACAAATCAGTGCTATTACAGCCAAGATCATACGTAGCCAGTCCCTGAAGGCCCCCAATTAAGAGTATTCAAGTTAGCAGAAAAGTCTAAGTAGGCTTGTTGGGCTTTGTGTTAAAGAATTCAGAAAATGAAATGTATGAGATGTTTCCAAACATAAATCTCCAGCTACACAAAGAGCAGAATAGATCATTTCTAAGTGAAGTAGAAATCTTTAGCTTTGCATTAATAATCTGTTTCTCCACTTGGTTTACTAAGCGATTTTCTAGTTAGATACAATCAAGAGGATGAAAATTAAGATTGTGTCTTTGAATGCATTAGGAAGTGATCATTGCAGAAGGAAATAAAAGAAAGTCATGATTTCAAATTCTGGATGGCACCTACATATCCTCTCTGAGCATGGGCAGAAACAGCTGGAGGCATACAGGGGTGGGAAACTTCATGTAATGCAGTCAAATACTCAACCCCTACTTCTTGGCCCTTCTCTCTATACTTTTGATTTTAGTGCCTGTTATGTTTTTTATTCATAGATATAATATTTTAGATGAAACATTTGTCAAGTACTGCTCTCTACAAAATATTTGGCCACATATCTGTATATGTACTCATAAATACACACACATATCTGTACGCATGTTGGGTGTGTGCATATATATGCATATACATATATATGTACATATACATATTTTAAAATTTTGTCAGGATATTAAATTCAAAAATATTCTGAACTTATAAGGGCCCATTCTATATGTTAAGTTCAATCCTTAAGACAGAATGTAGTGCAAAGGCTTAGAGATTTAAGTGTTAACCCTTGAGAATAAAATGAGTTTGTGAGTGTGTGTGTGTGTGTGTGTATGTGCACTGACATAGGTACACGTGTATTGAAGCTAAGGTGTAATATTCCCAAGAAAACTGTTTTTTTGTTCAAGAGCAAGTTAATCTTCTCACTATTTATGTACCACAAATTGTTTTTCTTCAAGTGTTATAACTTTCTGTTCAAATGTATTGCACCTGTTACTTAATTTTTGGCTTTGGCATTCAGAGGCCAACACAGAACTTTAAAAGATTAACAACAGCAGCAGTAGCAGCAGCCCCAACTGCAACACATCCCTTCTTCATGAGTCTTTGTCGACCATTTCTTAGTCAACGAATGTCATTTGTTGAATTTAATATTTTTGTGAGTAAAATGATTAGTGGAATCTCAAAAGAGAAATTGTACAGACATTTCTGACATTCAAGTTTAATTGCTGGTTGTATAAATAAATGACCTGGCTTGTGAGTTCAGATATTCTGAGCAAGAAAAATTAATCTGTCTAAAATATCATTCACCTGGAGTCAAAAGCAAGAATCAGATTTAATATAGCTTGCCAAATAAATATGAACCACATGACTATTTTCATATAATCATATGGATTGAACTTGTAATATAAATAATGAGATATATTTGTTATTATGCTTTCTTTACATATTGTTAATGTTAGTATTATGTACATTCTCCCTCCTGATCGCTCATGTTCTCTGTAGCATAACAATCATGCAGGTGAATATTTTCATTTTTCAATATAAAGCATGTGTTTCTTTTCAAAATTGCTCTGAAAATATTAGTTATTTCAATCAGCATGAAAACGACAGAGTGTAAGAAAGGCTTACATTACTACAGGTCCCTGAAGAAGGGCGAAAATACCTGGAACGTCCTGCAGTGGGTTTACTCACCTGCAACCACAGAGGGACCAATTATACAGATTGAGGATGGCTTGACAGAATCAGGAATGAATTCCGGAGTCCCTGACAGAGAATCGAAGATTAGATCAATACAGTTCTGGTATAAATGAAAAAAAAAGTAATTAATACTGGAGACCAACCAATGAATTAGGCAATTGTGTTAAGGAAATGGTGTGGGACTTCTGCTGCCCTAAAATTTCCTCAGTAATCACATTGAAGGATTTAGGTTGGTCCGTATTTTTTTCATGAATAATATTTTCTGGCTTAATTTACTAGCATGTAATCACATTGAAGGATTTAGGTTGGTCCATATTTTTTTCATCAATAAAATTTTCTGGCTTAATTTACTAGCACGTATACTAGCTATACATGGAAAGAAATTAAAATTGGCATTAAAACATTAAATATATAACAAGTATTTAGCACAGAAAACAAGGAAAAGTCACAATGCCAAGCCATGGCTAATGCTCGTGTGCAAGAAATAAGTTAACAAAAATTTATGAGCAAAAATTTCACATGTAGATTATATTACTAATTTCTGAAAATGTACACTTGTAATTCCATATACATAATTTCTCAGAAAATCACAAACATATAATCACTAAATGAAATTTTATTTGTAATGATGTAAAAAACTAGCAAAGTTTCAGAAAAAAACAATTTTCAAAATTGATATAAAGGTGTCATAACTTACGGGACTGTTTTATAAATGTTATTAATTATAAATTTTATTACATATTTACTAATAAACAGAGATGTGAAAGTCATTTGTAAAATTTTGATATCTAAATAGTAGTCTATGAAGCTCTGAGAAGACTAGAAGATCTTGTGTCTACCTTTTAAGGTTTTCTCTTTACAGGGCCACTCTAATGTTTAGGTAATGGTTCACTGAAAAGTGCATGTCTAAGTACAACTTGTTGAAACATTCAGAATTGTCAGCTGAATGGCATATTTTGCTCTTCTTTCTTCAACCAATTACTACTTTATAAAATCAGCTTGTATTGCAATAAACTTCTGTTACGAAAATAGTTAAAATAAGTAAAATCCTGATAGAAAATGCTGATTTTTCACACATAAATTATCTAATAATTTGGAACTACATTTTGAATTTAGCTTACAATATTAATCATATACTTCTTACATTAGTAAGAATTATAAGTTACATGTTATATTTGCATTCTATCACTGTGCAAAAAATTACCACAATCTTACAGGTTGAAACAACATTCATTTATCATCTCATGTTTTCTATAGGTCAGAGTGCAGATGTGATGTAGTTGGAATCTATGTTCAGTGTTCTGTAAGGTTGAAACCAAAGTAATGGGTGGACTGCATTCTAATCTAAAAAATTGATTAGGTAAATATCTGCATGTAAGTTCCTTCAGGTTGTCTGCAGAATTCATTTCCTTATGGCTACAGATTCATGGAAGCCTGCTCCTTCAAAGCTGGCAACAAAGAAAGAATCTGCTTCTTCTTGTCTAACTTCTCTTTAAAGAGATCACATGATTAGCTCAGGCCCACTCAGGATCATCTCCACTTTGATTAATTTCAAATCAACAGATAGGGGCCTTAATTATATTTGCAAATATTTCATTTTTTCCATACAATGTAAACATATTCACAGTTTCCACTCACTTTTGGAGAGGGCAGAATCCTTCCAAGTTTCAACTATTCTCAAATTGGCCAAATCAATTCCTCACTAAGCTCCTGCTAACTATTTTGAGGTTCTCCTGTTCTCAGCTCCTCGGATCTTCTTCCACTTGATCCTGTCCTCTTTCTGCATAGAACCCACACCATGCAGGATTTTGGCTATTGGTGGCCTGCCTCCACCTGCTTCTATTTTGGAGTTGATTTGGAATTGATTAGGACATCCCACCTAGTTCTGTTGTTAATGCTGTTTGCTGATTGGTGATTTTGCTGTCTTATTCCTCCATAATTCCTTATATTGACAATTTATGTTTTGTTTCTTTTTATTAATCTGTGTTACTAGTGGTTTATCAACTATAATAATTGTAAAGACAACCTTTGGTTTCATTGGTTATTTCTATTGTTTTCTGTTTTATAATTCATTTATTTCTACACTTGATAATATCCATCCTTGTACTTTGAGTTCGACTTTCTCATCTTGTTGTACTTAAGATGAAAGTTCAACCACTAATTATAAATATTTCTTCTTTACTAATGTAAATATTAAAACTATGATTGCCCCTTAATATTCTGTTTTAGCTTTATTCCAAAATGTTGATGTGCTATGCTTTTCATTATCATGCAGTTTGAAATACTTTCTAATTTCTCTTTTGATCTATTTTTAAGTATATTACTTAATGCTCAAATAATTAGGGATTTTCCAGGTGTCTGTTTTTAAATCAATTAATAATTTAATTCTGTTCTTTTTATGGCTGCATAGTATTCCATGGTGTATATGTACCAAGTTTTATTTATTCAGTACATCACTGACGTGCATCTAAGTTAATTCAATGTCCTTGTTATTGTGAATAGTGCTGCAATAGATATACAAGTGCACGTTTTTTAAAAATTTGCTTTCTGGGATCTAGGTTTACTTCTATGACTTTATCTTGCAGAACTTTCTTAGATATTTCTTGTAGTCTAGATCTTTTTACAATAAATTATCTCAGTTTTATCTGAAAAAAAACCCATTTATTTTGCCTTTAAGTTTGAAGGCATTTTTTCTGGATATAAATGCTAATTTGAATTTTCTTCCCTCAGCACTGTATTAATTCATTTCATTATCTCCTGGTTTTTGATAAGAAGAGAAATGACCAGTGCTTCTTATTATTTTTACTTATTTATTATTTTTTTTTAAGAGGGAGTTTCACTCTTGTTACCCAGGCTGGAGTGCAATGGCACAATCTTGGCTCACCGCAACCTCCGCCTCCCGGGTTCAAGCAATTCTCCTGCCTCAGCCTCCTGAGTAGCTGGGACAACAGGCGTGTGCCACCATGCCCAGCTAATTTTTGTATTTTTAATAGAGACGGGGTTTCACCATGTTGATAGGATGGTCTAGGTCTCAATCTCTTGACCTCATGATCCACCCGCCTTGGCCTCCCAAAGTGCTGGGATTTTTACAAGCATGAGCCACCGTACCCGGCCTGCTTCTTATTATTGTATCCTGTTTATAATATTCTTTTTTTCTACTTTGGCTAATTTTAAAATTTTTTCATTACCATTTTTTAGTTAAAAATAAATGCTTTATTATAAAAACATTTGAATGTATTCAAAAAAATAAAGACATCAGTATAATGAATTCCCACTTACCTATCACCCAGCAGTAATAATTACTATTATAAATTTATATATTTATTTTAAAATTCCATATATCAGGGACATCACAGTATTATCTCTAATTGAAAACAGCATATTTTTGAAGCACAACCTCCATGTCATTATTATAAATAAATAATAGTAATTTCTTAATATCACTTAATACCCAGTCCATATTCCATTTTTCTCAATTTTATTAGTCAGGGTTCTCTAAAGGGACAAAACTAATGGTATATATTAATACATATATTTGAAGGGGAACTTACTAGGAGAAATGACTCACAGAAATTACAAGCAGAAGTCTCGTAATAGGCTGTCTGAACCTGAGGAGAGAGGAAGCCAGTCTGAGTTCCAAAACCTCAAAAGGAAGGTGAAAGTATACCCTTTAGTCTGTGGCCAAAGGCCCAAGAGCCCTTGGAAAATCAGTGGTGTAAGGGCAAGAGTTCAAAACCTGAAGAAGTTGGAGTCTGATGTTTGAGGGCAGGAAGCATTCAGCATGGGAGAAAGGTGAAAGCCAGAAGACTCCACAAGTCAGCTCCTTCCACCTTCTTCTGCCTGCTTATGCTAGCCAATAATAGCAGCTGATTAGAAGGTGCCCACCCAGATTGAGGGTTGGTCTGCCTCCCAGTCCATTGACTCAAACGTTAATCACCTTTGGCAATAGTCTCACAGACACATCCAGAAACAATACTTTGCATCCTTCAATCCAATCAAGTTGATACTCAATATTAACCATCACACCAATTGTCTCAAGGATTTTTTTTTATAGTTGGGTTGTTAAAATCAGGACTTAGACAAGGTCTTTATATTGCATCTCATTGTTTTGTCTCTTGTTTTCATGGTATAACAATCTCTCTGCCTATATAATTTTTAAATGCCATTGTTTTATTGGGCCATTTGTTACATAGAACGACACATCTTGATTTGGCCGATCACATCCTTAAAGTGTTGAAAACTTGTGTCTCTAGCCTCCACATTTTTGGCAAACTGGTAATTATATCAAGGAGATTGATTAGATTTAGGTTTATTCCCCACCCCCACCTCCAACTTTATTTTTAGCAAGAGAACTTCATAGGCAATTTTCTTTTTTAATATTTATTATATTTTAATTTTTTATTATGCTTTAAGTTCTAGGGTACATGTGCAGATCATGCACGATTGTTACATAGGTATACACATACCATGGGGGTTTGCTCCATTCATCCTCCCATCATCGACATTAGTATTTCTCCTAATGTTATCCCTCCTCAATCCTCCTACCCACTGCTGTCCTTCCCCCAGCTCCCCCCACCCCCAAACAGGCCCCAGTGTGTGATGTTACCCTCCCTGTGCCCATGTGTTCTCATTGTTCAACACTCACTTATGAGTGAGAACATGCAGTGTTTTGTTCTGTTCTTGTATCAGTTTGCTGAGAATGATGGTTTCCAGCTTCATCAATGTCCGTGCAAAGGACATGATGAACCCATCCTTTTTTATGGCTGCATAGTATTCCATGGTGTATATGTGCCACATTTTCTTTATTCAGTCTATCACTGATGGGCATTTAGGTTGGTTCCAAGTCTTTGCTATTGTAAACAGTGCCACAGTGAATATACGTGTGCATGTGTCTTTATAATAGAATGATTTATAATCCTTTGGGTATATACCAAGTAAGGGATTGCTGGGTCAAATGTTATTTCTATTTCTAGATACTTGAAGAATCACCACACTCTCTTCCACAATGGTTTTTCAACATGCTTAATTGGTAAACTCTCCCTCATCAGCACATTCTCTTCCACCTACCAACTTCTTCCTATCAATCCACAGCTGAACATTCCACAAAGTGGTTATCTTTGCTTTCTTAATTTCTTCACCTTTCACTCACTCTTCAACCCATTCAGATTTGGCTTCTGTCCTTGTTATTCTCAGAAACAACAATGACCTCCATACCTCCAAATCAAACAGATATTTCTTTTTTCAATTACCATGTTTTTCCAATTATAACATATAGTATCTTAAAAGGAGAATTTGTTTTTATCTCTCATGGTTCTGTGGAATGACTGGATTCAGCTGAGCAGTTCTCATTTGGGGTCTTTCTATGAGTTGGATTTATCTGAAGGCTTAACATCCAAGATTGCTTCTTCCTTTACATGGCTGGTATCCAGGTTGGATTACTGCAACAACTGGGGACTGGCCCGGTTTAGATAGATCTCTTTCTCTCTATCTCTCTCTCTCTCTCCCTCTCCCCCCCGCTTGTGCTCTCTTCCCCCACTTCTATATTGCATCTTCACATTCAATCTTCACACTGTTAGTGTAGACACCTTCACAGCACAGCCATCTTGCACTATGGCTGGCTGATATCTCTTGAAATTCTCCCTCTGAGAAAGAATTTCAAGAGACAAAGATATTGCAAGAATCTGTATGACATCAAAAGTTACATAATGTCCCCTGTGCTTCACTCTACTGGTAAAACAGGTCCAGACCCATTCAATGTGGAAGACACTCCACAAAAGTGTGAATTTCAGAAAGCACAGTTCATTGAAGACTACTTATCACACTGTATCTTTGGATATTCAACAATTATCAGCACCTCTGTGAACTATACATTCTTTGACACACTCTGTCCCCTTGTTCCCATAACAAGTCAGTTTTCTTTTTACTTAATATTTTACATTGACATATAATATTTGTACATATTTATGAGGTACATAATGAAGTTGCATTATACACAATGTAGAGCGATCAGATCAAAATAATTAGGACATTTATCATCTGAAACATTTAGCATTGGTTTGTGTTGGAAAAATAAATTACCTTCCTTCTAGTCATGTAGAGCTAAGATATATTATCGCTAACTATAGCCATTCTACTGTGCTATAGAATACCACCAGTAAGTCATATATATCATAATCACTTATATTGCTTATGATTATGATATGTCTTAGTGGTAGTGGTGGTAGTACAGAGTGTAAGTATGTGTATATATCCTACTTGGTTAGGTTTATGGAGCTCCTTTGATAGGTGGATAAAGGTTTTTGCACATGATCTGAACATTTGCTAACACTGCTTTTTAAACATTTCCACAAACTCTCTTCTGTATTTCCAATAGCAATTATGTTAGATTGTTTGATTGTGTCCTAGGCTAATAAACTATTTTCATTTTATTTTCCATTCTTGTTTTCTCCATGATTCACTTTAAGTTTCTAATGTTCTATCATCGAGTTCAAGGTCTCTTCTTCCACAGTGTTTAATCTGCTATAAAGCCATCAAAGCAATTTTTAAAATTCCCTTATTTTAGAAACTGGTCATACATGCAGATTTGTTACATGGGTATACTGCCTCTAAGTAGTTGTCATACTACTCAATAGAAAGTTTTCAACTCACATTCCTCTCCCTAGCTCTTCTAGTAATCCACATTATATGTTGTTCCCAAGTTTAAGTTCATGTTTGCTCAATGTTAACTCCTACTTACATGTGAGAATATGCAGTATTTGGTTTTCTATTCCTGTGTTAATTTGAAAAGCAATTATTATTTCTATAATTTCTATTTGGTTATTTCATATAATTATCATATCCCTACAGATATTTTTAAAAATGATTTCTTTTTATTACGTTCATAGAACTTTTTTCTTATATTCTTGACTATAACAGCTATGTTAAAGTTCTTTTTCTGCTGAATCTATTGTTTTGTCATTTTTCAAACTGTTTCTGTTGACCCATTTTGTTCCTATATATTGGTAATACTTTTCTGCCTTCTTCACCTTTATAGTAGTTTTTTGTTGTATTATTTTCAAGTTAAGTTGTTGAGTGTCTGGATGTTTTGGTGCTTTCATAACAGAGAATAATTTCCCTGACAACTACATGCAGTTTCCACCATGCAATCCTTATATCGTAAGTGACGGTTTCCAGAGCCTTTAACATATCTTTCTATGATATGTTGAAGAAATATTTATACATTTTGTGTGCTTAAATCTTGGGAATCATGGAATGTGCAATGCAAAGTGGTTGCTGTGGTGTGGTAAGAAGTCTTCATTTTATGATCTAAAATAGAGAAACGTGTTGGGGCTAGATTATGAGTCCTTCAAATGTTTTTTTTTTTTTTAATTGTTGGGAGTAAAATTTCTGTGACTTTCCATCAATTATTCTTTTAACTAATGTCATAGATTTGTGACTGAGTCTGGAGAAAAATCTGGTTTTGAAAGGAATACCTATGGACTTCCATTCATAAACCTAACCAACTTTCTTGGTGGTATTTATTTCAATAGTCATATATAGTAATATCTAACATGCAGTCATTGTCCCTAGAAAGATGGCAAACCCTACCTCTATGAATGCAAAAAAAATGCTTAAAGACTTATTTATATTTATGTTATCACTTTGCCTCAATACTATTTCCCATATACATGAATTATTTAGACTAAACCGATTACTTGGAAATATGACACTGTTATCCAAATTTAATCATTTTCATTACTTCAGATAAATTCCGTTTTTCTCTATCACCAGAAAGACTCTTTGATGTCAAGATATGCTAAACCAAAGTTAAAGCTAAGTCTTTTATTAGACTTTTAGATTCCCCTTCTTCTGGATGACTAACCTCGCATCTAATTCACTCTGAAGTTTCAAATTCCTCATTTTCCCTAGTAACATAACTTGTGTCTAATTTATGCCATAATATTCTTATCAAAGTCCTTTCAAAGGTATAAAAATATAATGCAATATAATGGAGTAACTCATAAAACTTAAATAAAAGTAAATTTTAAATAGATAAAATTAAATTAAGGCTTTTCTTAACAAGATAAACCTTATAATAAAGTGTTATGTGAGGCCAAAAACTAAGAGGAAACTAAAGTCATTGTAGTATTTATGTGAGTGTGTTGTAGCTATATTTATGCGATATCACTGGTACTCAGAGCAGGTTTTTAGACCCCAAATAGGATTTAACATCACCTAAATGATGTAGGAAAGCATTGCTCTTGTAAAAATAGAGCATAGAAATAATGTATTATTTTCTATCTTCTGTAGAACTTAAGAAATGTCAGAGCAAGGACATTAAATGTAGCCTTTGGTAAAAGCTAAAGCATTACTAAGTCCCCTCATTAAGACATAAAATTCCAAGCTCTCTTTTCAAGCCAGATGAAAATAAAAAATTGCTAATGTATTTTAGAGGATTCAGAGTGATCAAAATGCACAAAAGAAACTTTTAAAACACAGATATTATAAAGAATAAAGATTTTCGTAGGTATTTCAAAAAAGAAAACTTGAAAAACACCCATTAAGTAACACAAAAGATTTGGCTGTGTTCTGTATTATACTACTAGCTCAAAACAATTTTCAAAAGGCATT